TCCACCTGATGGAGATCTACCAACTAGTGGATAGATGAAACCACTTCTGAACAACAGGGGCCTGTGAATTAACCCCACCTTCAGGTTGATGGTACCATTTCGCGACTCCAGTTTGTAGAGGATCATAGCCTCTTGTAAGACTTAACACAATGTGGCTAACGATCTCTATCACTTTGTTGCTTCTCATCAGAAAGAATACGTCAAACCTCAAATCAGAAATTGATGGATGACAGTGTCTGTTATCGATTTGAGCAGTTAGTCGTGTGACATACTCGGCCCCGAAATAGGATAACCGCCCTTGTTTAGCCTGGGTTGGGTTGTTCGAAAGGGGGTTAACGTTAATCTTAACCTTGGCTTTAATTTCCCATGTAGAAGAGTGCTTATAAGAGCTAAGGCTGAGTGGGTCTTCTCTCATTATGACTCGACACTAATGGGAAAAAATACAAAAGAACACTCCTTTCGCAGAGCTATAAATACTAAAATAAAGATTTACACTAACCCCGGGTTAGGCCGCAATCATCACGAGTTGTTTTAATAATCAAACACCAACTGGAACAGAAAGAACATTATAAACGGGGCAGAATTCTCCAGAAGGAAACAATCAAACTAAAAAAATTTCTTTTTACTATAATGATTGAAGAAAATTACGAAATTTCAATTTACGAAATAAGAAACTATACAAAAAAATGTCAAAATTACAAATAAACAGAGTAGAAATTTACATAGTTCACAAATTATAGACAATAATAGGGTTTTCTTTTATATACAACTTTTGAAAAAAGAAAAGAAAGGGGGTGTATCAGTGGAGGGATCCCATCGTTTTTATGGGGAACGGAAGCCGCTTGGATCACGTTAAATCGCATTTGGACTGAAATGTTCTTTTTGTCATAGCTCATTCAAAAATGTGTTTATGAAAGGCCTTTCTGCAAGAAGCAACTGTTGCCTCCTCTTTCTTTAGGTTAAAGGGTAATTGGTTCCATATTCTCTTCGTAGATATGCTAAAGGTCCTCTCTCCCTGGGTTTAGCGATTGACTAAGAGGGCAGGCGAGGTTTACTTTGCCATAGCGACCAGTTCGTGTGAAAAGGTTAGCATCAAATTTAAGGAGGTCGTACATTTAGGCAGAACAGCTTCCTTGTAAACGTTTTAAGACTAAAATACACTTGTTTAGCTTAATTACGTTATAGAAAGGGAGCCACGATAATTTCTTGAAGAGTTTCATATTGTTCAACCTTGTGCCAGCTCCCAAGATAACTCAGGCAGCGAGTCTTTGAGGCTTGAAGACTCTCTTTATGCTAGCAATTGAGCAGTTCGACCAAACAGTTAATCCATATAACATAAGTTGTTTGATCAATATGTTGTAGTTTAATATGCACGGTTCCATGGGAAGGAATCTTGTTATCTTCCTTAGCACTGCTACTCTTTGGGATAGCTTCTTATCCAGTTCTTCAACATGAACATTAAAGCTTAGGTGTCGGTAAATGGTAAAGCCTTGGAGTTTCTGACTATTCACCTGTTTTATATTTGAGTTCCCTAGATGAAGATTTGACTATATTAGACGTAAAGTTTCAAAAGTGTAGAATATCAATCGAGAAAATCATTCGATGGTGATTATTACTTATTAGAGTCCATGAAATACTTTTGCATCGCGCGTGATTGGTCACGCATCACGTGACCGAATATCCTCTAACTAAAACTGGAGATATTGTAAACATTGACCTCCATTTGGCGCGAAAATACGTACGGATATTTTTCCGCGGTCATTGCTTAATCCAAGATTCGAACAGCTTTCCGAGAGCAAAACTCGAGGAAAACTGTCAGCTTCGAAGAACAAGTAATGTCCAAGGAGATATAAACGAGCATTCATTCGCACCAAATCAAGGCTAAATAAGTCTAGCATCCTTCAAATATTTTGCAACGCGCGTGGAAAACGGGTTTTACGAACAGCTTACTGTTTGCTGTGTGCGGGGACGTTCACTTTTCAGTGTTCTCGGGTATGACTTAATGAACAAAACAAACGTGTCCATTCCTCTGCAACAAAAGCTAAACGCTCTCTAAAATAATTTTTGTAAACGAAGAATCATCGTGGTGGACGTAACGTTTGAGAATTGGGGGAACATCACTTGGGGTATAGCCTTGAATACTCCCCCAGTTTTAGTAAGTTTAGGGTTGGGAGGGCAAAGTTTCTGAGCGGTTATTTAAAATCAATACCATAACAGCACTGGTATATAAAGATATTGGGACTGCGTTGACAATTGCCACTGAAAGATGTCTTTTCCATCTTCTCTGCCAAACAGCCATGACAGCCACGTTCTGATAGCGAGTCTCGATAGCGAGAGACAAGCTGGTGAAGAACCACTCAATCACCAGTTGAACTGCGGTGTGAAGTGCAAACTCCTGTGAGAACTTTAGGAATGAATCGTCTTGTTCGTAAATAAACTGGTACAAATACAAAAATCCGTTAGCAGACATTATAGCAGTTGACTCATATAACATGCTCCTGATGGTGATATCTGCGATTAGCCTCTCACGGCGAGGAGTGCGAAAACTTCCCCAAGGACATGTCTTTCTGTGCCAAAATACCAGAAAAATGTGGTCTATCACAGCAACAGTGCTTCGTTCTATGACCTCTCAAGCGCCGTGAATTATTCCAAGAATGGCTATATTCTGCAAACTGTCGAGATCCGCTTGTAAAACACGAAATACCATCGCTGATCCAAAATATACAGGTGTAAGCAAGGTATATGCATATCCTGGATGGACAATGTTCCATAACCGCTGGACCAGAATTCGCGTGATAACTTTGACTAACACGCCAATGAGTGGTGCAAAAAGAGCAATTACAAGCTTTCCTCGATCGTCTTGCTTAGAGAACAACGGATAAATACAATACTTGATGACATAGCCCATAGTAAAAGTCAAACAAATCGGACTTGCCATTTTACAAATAAAAGATGCAACCTTTTTCCATGATCTTAGGCCAAAATGTAGCGCAAGAAAGTAATAAAAAGGGAAACCACAGATGATGGGGATAACGTAAAAAGGAACTGCATATACGGCAGGATGCCGGAATGAGTAACAAGGCTTCCCCATGGCTAGCAAAGTCACAGAATAAAGTGCGTCTAGACCAAGCGCCGCACAAGTTATCAAAATTAATTTTCTTCTCACTCTGATGACCTGATATGGACGGAAAAGGAAAAGTAAATGATTGCAAATGAAAGAGAGGTAATTAATGGCACGAGCAATTCTAGAAGCAATGAACTTGAACCAATTGATTCCAGACGGATTTGATATTGAATTGTTTTGAAGGAAATAACACATGTCCAGGATTTTAAGACATAAATAAGACACCACCAGAAAGATTGAAGCAGTGCCAAATGCAGCAAAAAGGGAAATTGATGCTGCGATGTACATTGATTTACCAACTGTATAGAGAGCAGAGGGTCGGAGTCGCTTCCAAGCCATGGATCTGTCTTCATCTGGCTGCTGATTATCCTGAAAGGAATCATTTTCTTCTGGAGAGCAAGTATCTATTACTCTCACATTGTAATTGCAAGCAGCAAGATACCCAGCGTCTGTGACTTCCCTCTCACTGTATTCCTGGTAAATAAGCTCATCGACAGGCTGATAGTTCCATTCCACACCTGTGCTTTGAAGAGGATCGTAGCCAAAAGACTCTGCAGTGAATTCAGGTTCTTGAGGATTGTAATGTTCTGTCACACTTCGAGTAAAACTGAACAGGACTTGAGTTAAAACCTCTGTTAATGCGCTGCTACACATTGCAGGGCTAAATGACATACCCTATAAAGAATGCCTTAACCCCTAAATCCGTTCTTCTTTACCCTTCGTGGTTACTTGATAAACACGTTTGGGTTTCGTGTCGAGCAGTTGGTTTCGAGCCAAGTGAAGTTCGAAAAAGGTTTTAGTTTCTAAAGAACCATTTGTGCTGCTTCGACGAGCAAGCGTAAAGATTAGCTTGGAGCAGTTTTCACCAGTTAAGTTTCGAAAGAGTTATCACAACAGCCAATCGGAAGGAAGATCGACCATGATCATTAACCAATGAGAACTCACGATTAAAATAGTTTAACTAAATGAAACGCGGGAGAACGCGAGTGACCAAATCACAATTGGTGTAAGTTTTGATTGGTTGAGAAAATGGCGCGCGTTTTCTGGACCAATCGCTATGCGAAGTTCATCATTTATTACTTTCATCAACGCTCGAAACCTCTGCTTTCGAAACTCCTCAAGGTGGTCAATTTACTTTATCAATTCAGTTTCGAAACACCGCAGTCATCACAACAGTCAATCGGAAGGAATATCGACCATGATCGTTAACTCAAAATAAAAGTAAGCAAACTGCATGAAACAATTTGTAATACCTCCCACTGACACACAACTACAGATTCTCCAGAAACTTACCCCCTTTATTCAAAGCAATCATGGATTACTTGGTGAACCTTTTTCAAAAATTGTACAAAATTTTTTATGGCAGTTTCCATTTTCCAAAAACTCGAAAAGTCCAAAATACCATGAAATAGCAACTGTTATTCACTGGTGAACGACTTCCTTCCTACTGTTAGCAATAATGGAAACAAAAGCGTAGAAAAAATGCGTTTATTTCTTTAATCCCGACTTGTCTACTTGTATCCTGATATTCTAAATAGTTTCTTACTTTAACAAGGCCTTGAGTAACAATGTCGAAAGCATATGCATCAAGAGGAATAATTTCCTCTTCGTTCGATTAATTTAGCTTAGCTGCGTGCATGCATTCCTGACAGAGAGAAAATGGAAAACATTATTTGTAGGGTGGTCCAAATAAGCGAGGGGGGGGGGGTCCATGTTCTCTGAAAGATTTGAACCAAGGACATTAACGTGCAGGACAAGCGTAACATTTTTGCGTCTTTCAGTCGAACAGAGGCAAGAGCGAGAAAGTGTAAAGTACTAGTCACGCAAGAGGGGAGAAGCTTGCCTCGCCCTTCGCGCGCCTACTCTCGTAGGCTTGGGGCCGGTAATTAACCTACCAAAGTATTTGTACGAGGGAGGGGAGATGGTCCAACTTCGCTGTAACACCAGCCTGCAGTTTGTTGTCTGACGGAACATCCGAAAAAAAAGAGAGACCTTAAACGGACGACTGTTGTAAGATTATTGTATGGATGCAGTTGAAAAGGTGACGAATCCAAACCAACAAAACCACCATTGTTGTAAGGATATCCCGCACACATCTGAACAGTAAAAAGAGTACAACAGGCAGGTCTACCAAGTACTGGATAATCTGTGGTGTACTACGTTTTCAAAATGGCGGCAACTTTTAGAGTGTGCAGAGCTATCATGTCGCGACTCTTTAACATTTGGATCTGTAAAGTTGAAAATTTAGAGTTGCTAGTTCAGTTTTTCTGTCACACCTCGTGTAAAACTAAAGACGATTTGATAAAAAATCGCTGTCTCTGTACTGATACACACCGTGCAGTTACTTAACATTCACTACAAAGTATACCCCAGCCCTTAAATTTGTTCGCAGTTACCTTTTGTCGTCAAAGCATTTTCGATTCAGGCTGTTGGTCTCGAACCCAGTGGATATCGAAAAAGGTTATCAGTTTCTGAAGAACCATTCGTGCTGCGTCGACGGGCAAGCGAAACGTTTAGCTTAATGCAGTTTTCAGGTGTGATTAAAAAATCCACAAAAGCAGCAAACTTTATGAAACACTGGAACGCGAAAGTGACTAAATCACTATTGGTTTAAGTTTTGTATCTGATTAGCCAAGAAAATGGCGTGAAAAGTTGCAGAGGTAAATGTTACGTAATCGGCACTAGACCTTTTTTTTTGGTTGTTGTTGTTGCCAAGATTTTGCAAACTTACCATAAACGCCACGCTAATTCTTCCGCAGGAGTGTGTCAGAAAGTACTGAGCTTGTTAGTCGCTTTAACAGCAATTACAAAAGTCAGTTTTAAATTTTTAAATATAGAGGCAAGACAGATACAACGTAGATAAGTAAATTTTAAGACGGAGCACTATATTTCGGCTGGCCAAACCAGCCTTCTTCAGGTGCAGTGGGAATTAACAGAGAATTGGGCTGATGCTTCGTAGATAGCTGTATGATGTAACAGCGGAAATATGTAAAACTAATTTGATTGACAATGAGATAACAATAAAAATAGAAATAGTGAGCAAAAATAGAAATGAAGTAAGGTAAATTGGATAAATAACTAGAAACTAATACATTTCTTCGCGAGCGTTAAGGCCATCTGGATAAATAGTGTTGCCTCTTGAAATTAAAAAAGCTTCCCTGGCCTTGCGTATCGAGTCTCTCTTGGAAAACACTTTTTCGATGGCGATTAGCTCCATGTCGTGAGCAGAGTGGTTAGGAGAGGAAATGAAGTGTTCTGCCGCTGTAGTAGGTTTAGATTTAGAGTTAGGTTTATCAATGGTACGGCGGTGTTCATTAAAACGGTCTTTTAAACGTCGTTTAGTTTCTCCTATGTATTGTAAGTTACAGCGGTTACACTGAATTAAGTAGATAAGGTTTTTAGTGTCACAGGTCAAGTGAGATTTAATGGGACGTGTTTCGCCGGTAGAAAAAAAGGTATAGTTAGTAAGACCGTCAGAGATGTAGGGGCAAGTAGCGCAGTTTCTACCACAACGGAAAGAGCCGGGGGGGAGTTGAGGATGGGAAGTGGTAGAATTAGAGGGGAGTTTGGCTGTTACTAATGTGTCGCGAAGGTTGGGGGAGCGTCTGAAGGCGACAACTGGCAGCTGAGGAAAAGCTTTTTTGCAGCGGTTAGANAGGTATGTGGTAAGTTGAGCGGCGCGAGTCTTAAAATCTTTGTCTGTAGAACAGATACGTCGTAGGCGGAGTGCTAGACTGAACGGAATGGCTTTTTTGGTATGTAATGGATGGCAAGAAGAGTACAATAGATACATGTGTTTGTCTGTGGGTTTGGTGTAGACGTCAGTGGAGATATTACCGTCGGTGGTTAAAGAGACACTTACGTCAAGGAAAGCCACATTAGTGGAAGAGTGTGAGCTGGTGAATTTGATGGTGGAGTGGATATTGTTAAGATAATCGACGAAAATTTTTAGGTTATCTAAACCTTCGGTCCAGACCATAAAGATATCGTCGATGTATCTAAACAAGTGTGGGGTTTACATGGGGCATTTTTCAAAGCGTTAGCTTCGTAAAGACCCAGAAAAATGTTAGCGAAAGAAGGGGCCATTTTGGTACCCATGGCTGTGCCGTGAACTTGGCTGTGCCGTGAACTTGCCGTGAACTTTAAATTTTTCCACTTTTAAGATCTAAAAATAAATTCTCTGCACTTTCAGCTTTACTTATTCTTGTCACCTACTTTTTGGTCGTTCCGGTGAAAATGTTGTAAAGAACATCCAAGAACAAGTTGAGGAGAGCAAGACTGTTGTATTGGCAGAAGCCAGAGACTGCGCGGCCTCTCTGGTCGCGCTGAGGACCCCATGAGGTTCAAGAGTGGGACTTGACATAAGCTTTCATATCGGGCTAGTTCCACGTAAACGTCGTTTTAATGTGGATGCACTACACCATGAGGTAAACAAATCTGCAAGCTTTTCTTCCCCATTTAACGGGCTTGAAAGGGTTTTTTTTTTTGGACTGCTCGGAGAATGGATTCCACGATACACTCAAGTGAATTACCCGCGAGAGAAATACGCGATGGCGCGCGCGATCCATTTGTGGACGAGTTGCGAATGAACATGGCCGCCACGAGCGCTCCAGTATATGTGGTTGTTTGAGAAACAAAATTGCGAAGTGTAATTCTCGAAGGCAGGTTGGAAAAAGTTTGGAATGCTGGGCTCTTACCGAAACGGGTCGAAAAAATTTAATTTAAGAGCTAAATGGTGAAGTCGACGCTGCACCAGCATAGACGCGAGGACTACGCTCGGTGGGTCTTGCTTAATTCCGCAAAGAAATTAGTTGGATACTTCCGAGTGTTGGAGATTCGTTTTTTTTTATTGAGTTAATTCCTAATAAAATGAAATGACGGAGAACATTCCTAAACAACTCACAAGATGGTGAAAAGGAAAATGAAATAATTGTCGGATTCGCGTACAAATTAACTTCAACATAGCATTATTGATGAACAAGAATTTAAAAAATATTACCTTTTAAAATACTGATATGTTATAATGCGCATTTGACCATATCCACATGGAATTTGCGCACTACAAATGCTGTATTATTATTATTATAGTACACAATCTGGACATGATATTCCCCATTGTTAGCAAAGGTCAGTCAACCACAGTTGCCTGAGTTCTCGGTCCTCTTGCTTTTCTTGATCTTCCTCCGTGGCTAAATGAAGAAGGAGGAACAAAATTTAGGACAATCAAATACACTGTAAATTCTTTTAATTCTGAGCCTTACTGTTCTTAAAAGTTGACTGATTTTGTGGTGTGTAAGCATCCTGGAGTCTATACTCTGTTTTATGTTTTTGAGAGATGGGATTCAAACATACATTGAGAAGAAAGATAGTAAATTAAGGTTGGTCCAGACTTACCTCCTTTATTCTCTGTTAAAGGGTCATTATTCTGGGGAGATGGATTAAAAGAAAACTGTAACACACTTTTTTCCACAGCAGAATACAGAGTAGGAAGGTAAAAAATGGGACTATCAGGTTTCATAAATATGGTGGTGTCTTCGATTCAAATCTTATTTCAGGGTATGAAGGTTATCGGTCAACTTTTGTTACAAAAAGTTTTCAAGTTAAAGTACTTTGTGTTCTCTGCCATAAATTTCCCATGAGATTTCACACCTCTCCTACTGCTTAGGACATCACGTTTGTATACAGAAAGTAAAGCTAAGCATAACATTACAGACTTAAATGAACACTTAGGGAAACGAACCAGCACTGTCTCTGTGACTGTTTTTTTCTCCTTTTCCTTGTCACCCTCTCCACTAGCTACTATTGGAGCTTCATGGATGGTGGCTTGCTTTGGGGTAATAAATGCTTGTATCGGTATATTCTGGTCTTCTTGCTCTCTGGATTTTAAACAGATCAATAGGAAACAGTGATACACCTTATTTTAACAGTAAAATGCCCTTTGGAGATTAAGTGGTAGTGAGATGACATGGTTTGAAAATTGTTTGTGGCATTTTGTTATGAATCTGAGTAGGGATGAGTAGTACATCAGATGACTGCCGTCAAAGAGAAGTTCTCCAGTCCCATGTTTATCTCTGAACTTGTTTTTCTGTGAAATTCAGAAAACTGTCAACACCACAAATATTTAAGGAATGTTGAATATTCATATACGCTTCACAAATTTCCACAAGGTGTTTGAAAAGAAACTGTACACAGCAACTATCTTTGCAGTACAACACACCTGTACTGCAACACCAGTGAGCATGTCAAGTGTGTACCATGCATGGGAATTAAATGCCTTCTCTAAGAGCACCCTCACAGTCAAAGAATTGCTCATAAAATGAGAAACTTTTGTATGTTCTGTATTTGAAATTTTGCAAACAGGACTATANCAAGCATTAGAAAATTAGCAATTTGTAATTTAATGCAAGGCACTAAATAAAACAGCAAACATTTCTAACAAGCCTCTCACTCAAGGACTTCTATTCCCTTACATTTTAGAGGTAACAGTTATTTAAAAAGAACATTCCTGCACAAGTAGGACATTACCTGTGACATATCAGAAAAATCTGATACATTCTCATTTGTATCAACTTTTTGAGGGAAGTTTCCATTCTTTTCCATTTCTAAGAGAGCACAGAGCAACTTTAAAATAGTTCTTATTTTGTGAGTTGTAAGGCCCTACATTACTTTTTATTAACATAACTAAAAATAATTCCATAATGGCTGTATGCAGCAGCAAGAGCAAGTCTCTAAAAGGTTGTAATACCCAATATATGCCCCTGTCAAATACAAATCATAGGAAGATGGAGAGAGAAACAGCAGTTGTATGTCATAATGCTCACTGAGTGGCTTAGGTCAAACCAGGTGAAAAAAAAACATTTGCCTCTCAGTCATTAAGAGGCTGTCTCTTACTTCTATTCGGTCAATTTCGCTTCAAAAATAATTTTACCCGAAATCCTGTCATCAGAAAGACTTGACTTAAGAAAGAACTAAATTACATTGTTTGATTCAAAATAATTTTTTTCAAGATTGCATTAGGGGCCGCAAAATTATTTCCCCGTCTGTAGGGACCATTGTAACATCTCAAAAATTGAAAAATACCATATTTATTCATCAATAAGCCGAGCGATTTTTTCACAAAACTTTACCAAAATCTCGAAAATTTGAGCTAGAGAAGGGTTCTCGGCTTATAGCTGAGTGTTTTTCCGAACATAATTTTTTCGAAACAGCAAATTCGAAGGAAACAGATACGTTTGTCTCTAAGCCGAGATATTGCATGCAGAAATAACAAAACAAGTTGAAGTTGGTCATTGACTTTAAATATGCAGTTGCTTCCAATGCAGCGGTTTGTTGTTTTCAGCACGTAGTAAAATATGGCTTACTGTTCGTACTCATCGTCGGCATGGAACTTGTTGTCCATCTCCTCCTTAGCTGCTAGTTCTGTCATTTATTCCAAGTAGATTGCTTCATCTTCCATGCTGTCTAGAGTATCAGAGATTCTGCAGGTACTGACTGATCAGAATTACCCATTCCCACGATTGGTAAACATACTGGTCGATCGTCAAATGTTACCGTGTTTAAATTTGTGATCACGTAAAAAGAAAACTTATCTTGGCTTCTCTGCTTTGTAAACCAATCAAGTAATACCTCATCCAGCCGCATATATTTATGTGTGTAAAAGCCCATCGTTGTGCGTTTCGTTGACATCTCGAGCTCTCCATTAAAGATCTTCTCTTGATTTTTCCTCTAGCAACTCACTGACTCTCTGGTTATCTCGGAATGTGTTATTGACGGCAATACTGCATTGAAACTATTTTCTATTTTGAAACTTTTGCGTTCATTTCAGTTTGTTTGAAAATGGAATTCTCTTAATGTAGTCTCGGCTTATAGCCGAGTATTTTCAATTTACATGTTTTAAGAACCTTCCCGATTAAAACAGACCAAAGTCTAGGGTCTCAGCTTATAGCCAAGATCAGCTTATAGACGAAAAAATACGGCAAGCATATTTTGTAACATCATAAAATATTTGATTTGCATAGTTAAGCAGTGATCCATCCAGAAAAAGGCAGTAGTGAGTCCAGGGACTCACACAGCCAAAATCCAGCGAGTCCCACACACAGGAGTGTGAGTACCTCACACAGAGGAGTGCGAGTTCCACACTCATCATTATACAAGTTGTACCTATGAATAACACAGAGTTATATGAGGTTTGTATTTTATTAGTTACTTTAAGTCTGACATACAAATCAGGAACAACTTTGAGCAGGGGGCAATCTTAAAAAATCTGAGTGTACAGTGCTAGTCACTTGTGATGTGCAATGTCTGTACTTTCATCGGCCAGGGAAGTTACTATTGGAGATTATTCCAACTTTTCTTTCAGTTCGTCATCAATTACATCCGAAAGGCACAATAAGATATCATCTGGAGCTGTGTAAGAATCATAACTGATGTTGGTTTGTTTCAAAACTGC